ATTATTATTATTATTATTATTATTATTATTATTAGAAAGGAAGCAACGCCCTGCGAGCTGTGCTCTGTGGTGCGCGCTGTAGTCCTGCACAGTCCCTTTGGTCAGTTATCTTGAAGAAAAAAAAAAGAATTATACTTCTGTCATCATTTGCAGGCCCAAAGCAGGGAGCGTGGGAGGCATCTGCTGCGCTCATATGTACTGTACACTGTGTTCCAAGTGTACCCGACGCAAGGTTCATTGTTTCCTGCCTTAGCACAGCCGTGTTTTCAGTGTCAGACTGACACAGTGACTCGGTTTGAATCATTTGTACAGAGATGCTGAAATGTCCCTTAATTTCAGAGGCACCTACAGCAGCCAGTGTCTGGCAGATCTCTGTTAATGCATCTTTTGCATATGGAGATAAAAATAATCACCCCTTCTGGAGGGCATGAAAGGTACTGGAGCGCCTACTCAACGACTTCATCCGTTCTCAGAAAGTCCGTTCAGGGGGAACTGCATCTGCGAACAGTCCCAATTTCTGAGGCTGGTTATTAAATCTCGGTAACAAAATAAATGTATTGACATTTTTTTTAAAAAGATGAAAAATTCTTAATTAAGCACAAAATTGTGAACTTTGTGAAAGTAGTGCAAGTCGCCACGTTGTCGCAAACCTCTGGTTTCGCCAGGGGCAAGAGCGAGAGCTCACGAGAGTTGCAATGTGAGGCGGCCCTTCCTGCTCACTAGTCCCTGTAATGACTGATGTCATAACGGTGTTCAAACATGTGATCTGAAACGTTCCCAGCGTGATCCGCATGCAGAGTTAACAAGGAAGTAGAATTCCTCCGAAAAACCATCTCAAAATCGAGAGCAATATTTCTGTTGGATTGAAAGCGATGTCGTCACGGTCCTGCTTGTTTGCAGTGTCACAGGGCCGCTTGACATCACGAGATGTTTTGTCGCCTCGTTCGAAGTCACAGATCCTGGCGCTGCGCAGACCTGGAACTCTTGTGTATTTCGTGTTGAAAATTCAAGGTTTTACAATTGACTGTGTACGTTTTTTCTTTTATTGTGGTTTGAAACGCGCTCACCAGCACTGATTTGTCCTAATTTCGTGGCAGTACGGAGTCTATGCTGGATGCCATGGGGTCCACAGCTGGGGTACACACTGGACAGGACACCAGACCCTCACAAGGTGTACTGGGACAGTTTAGAGACACCAGGTGATGTAGTAAGAATGCATTAGGGTGAAGGAAGTAAACCTGTGTCTATATGGGAGAAAACCCACACAGACACGGGGATAGTGTGCTGGCTCCACACAGAAGGCACACAGGTCCCAAGAGCTGTGCCACCAGGCTGCCAGCATCGGCCACGGCAGTGTGGACCTGCAAGTCTGATCAGGATTGGTAGGGTGATGCGGAAAAGATGTTTCATTATGGGGAGGGCATTTTTTCCATCCGGCTGAATAGGTAAACGCTCAAAGTGTTTGGTTTTCCAAGTCGCGGGGAAAGGGATTCTTAAAAGTCTCACTGGCACCTTAGGCTGACAGATTCATATATCATAAATTAGCTTCTGAAGGAATGTCTGCAAACATCTCTGAACTTCACATTCCTACAATATGTCCCTGAAACTGATCTTAAAACTCACCTGGAAGTGACTGAAGAAGAATTCAGCTCCTTCAAAGTGACAAATAATTTCAAAGAAATTATCAGATGCATGAAAATAACTCTTCCTCCCACGATTGCTGCATCCCTTTATAATCTAGAACCCACACTTGTCTTACACCTAATCCTCTCATGATAACAAGGATCTTGTTAGCAATGCAATCTTGAGTACTGAAATCCTTATCTTTCTGCTTTCAGTCCATGTCATTACTCACTGTAAGTGACAAGATGTTTTTAAACTTTGAATTCAACATTTTTAGTGTGCACTTTATGTTTGCTTACTTGGATGAAAAAACCCATGATTCTGAGAATGTTTTTTATCTTAATGTCCGTTGAAGATATGCAAGTGATGAAGCAAAATGTAACAGTTTCCTTCCTGCCCTTTAAGCTGCTCACATCTACAAAGTAGAGATCTGACGCTGATAGAATAAAAGGCGAAATTCTTATTTTTTGTCAAACTGACTTTAGGGGTGGGCGATACATGTAAAAACACATCACGATCCTTTATGTTAGAGACAACTTAGAGCAGATCACAATATTGTATAGTCTCGATAAAGATGTATTTTATTTGTTTGTATAACATTATTGTCGCTGGATGTGTGGTGCAGGAGATGGCCAGAACATGTGACACATAGCACTTGTCTTAAAGGTAGGACATTTATATTTCAAGATATTCACCAAACATTGTGGGCTACTATGACATGATAAGATGAAATGATCTTTGTATATGGCCAATAAAGTGATCTTATCTTTTATTATTCCACTAAGTCTGGACCAGGCAAAGACATTGGCAGTGAACTGGCAGAGCCTTGTACATTACAGGAAAACCAGTTTCCTCGGAGAGGGAAAACCTAGCAGTATGTGAGGACAGCATTAGGAGGTACGAGCAATGTATTTCCCTTTCTATATTTCCGGAGTCTAGCTTCCCGTTGGGCATCGATCCACTTTGTATCCGCTTTATCCAATTCAGGGTCACGGGAGAGCCGGAGCCTATCCCAGAGAGCAACGAGCGCAAGGCAGGGTGCACCAGTCCCTCACAGGGCACATAAACACACTCTCGCACCAGGGCCAGTTTTCCCAAAAGCCAGTTAAGCTACCAGCATGCCTCTGGACCGTGGGAGGAAACCGCAGCGCCCGGAGGAAACCCCTGGTGAACATACGGACCACCAAGTGCTCCGAGCGAGGCAGAATGCCAACCACTGCGCCAACCTGCCCCTCCTCCAGCTGACCATGTGATTCTATCATATGAAATAACATGTAAAAAAATAAACACCTAGGATCAAGATCAACAAACACTAACAGACAATAGACAGCAATGAAATGTACTGTAAATTGAAAACAGCTCATTATCACAGATTGCATTGACATGAGGGGTGCTCTTTGGAGTTAAGGTTCCAATTCTGATCTATCAGAAGGCATTGGTGAGAAAACAAACAATAGAAGAAAAATGGGGAAAAAAAAATTCACGTCAACAGCTGGTGTTTGAAGGGCCACAAGGAAAAAGGCCGGAGACTGAGGAAGACTGTCTAAACCTTAAGATCAATATCTGAAGCTTAGGAAATAAGAGGGCCGTAGCATGTTACGAAATGAACTGAACGAGGCACTTGGAGCCAGGAAGTTACAGTTTCCTAATGTCTGAGAGAAGCTGGAGTTTACACTCTATAACATTCTGCTGAAAAACGCTTTCTGCGTCCAGGAGATTGAATAAAGACTTAAAGAATATGTAGAATGAAACACATCAAACCTGCAGTGACGGAAACTGCAGTAACTACACATAAAACTGAGAGCAGGAGGCATTTTGTATCTGCAAGGTTGTGAGAGTGTGGAACACGCTACCTGGCCATGCTGTCGAAGTCAATACCCTGGCTTCTTTCAAGAAACCGCTGGGTAACACCAGACCTACTAACTAGCAAATGGGCTGTATGGTCTGAAAGTGCTCCCTTTCAATTTTATGTGTCCTTATGAATACATGAACGGGCCCAAAGGATTATTGTCAGGAGCAGTTCTTTCCGGGCCCTATGCGGACGACACGATCCGGAAGGTGGAGAAACAATAGGAAAAATATCATGCAGGAGTAGGGATGGAGACAGGGGGGCGTGTCCGAAGTGAGCAGGTGTCCAGGGGAAGTGAGTCCGGGGCAAACAATCCAACCATAAATCCAAAAGGGAAATCCAATACAGGAGGCAGAGTCCAAGACCAGGGGATCCATCCAAAGTAATTTAAAAACCAGAACCGGGTCGGGACCGGCGAGACAGGAAATCAGGAACAGGAAACTAAAACCATAACGGAGCCACAAAACGGGATTCAATGAGAAGCCCCAGGCAAATGCCTGCGTCTGGATTTAAAGGTGGAACTAAAGAGGGGCTGGAATAAGGAACAGGTGTGGGGAATTTGACAGAACGAGGAAGGGCTGGAGCGCCCTTAAGAGGAGGAGTAATGATCGTGACAATTATAGCCAGTCACAACAATCATCCTCAGCAATACTGAAGCTTCTTATTTCAGTAAATGACAAAGTGGCAACAACATCAGCACAAATTATGCTGCCTGGTCCCACGATGCCTACAGCTTCTGTAGGTGAAGACATAAAATATAACCAGTAAATAACCTCTATTCGTACATTCGAGATGATTTAGCTATGTTTCAGCACAGTTTTGCTTTTATAGATCACATACAGTAAATGCAGGCAGAAAATAAAATCTTCCACATTTTTTGGAGATTATTATAGAACTATTCAAATAACAATATGTATAATTGATATAATAAATTATGATTATTATTTACGTTTATTATATGTTAGCCATTACTGGAATCTATTTGTTATTTAGTGTATGAAACTGTAACCTGCCATTGGATGAACAAATAATTTTGTGGCTCTCATTGCATGAGACCATAAGAAAGGTTACAAATGAGGATCTAAGTTAACTGTTGCGAGGAGCTCATCCAGTCATTTTTTGAAAGAACCCAGGGTATCGGTATCAACAACTTGCTTGGGCGGCTTGCTCCAAAATCCCACAACCCCATGTTTAAAGAACTGCTTCCTGTTTTCTGATTTAAGTGCAATTCCAAGTATCATTTGTTCGCAGCTGTCTGATGGTGCTGAGAAGATTGTACCTGCTGTCTGAGCCTAGGAAATGTCCTTCACACAAATGACATTAAAACTTTATTTAAATGCTATTGATGATGCCTGTCCTTCTGACTTGTCAGCACTTTTTTACTTTTATAGATCATATAAATGCATTCTGAAAATAAAATCTTCCACATGGTTAGGAGATTATTATATAGTTATTATACTAACAATAATGTATAGTTGATATAAGAAATTAGTCTTATTCTTGTTCTTATTCTTAATTTAGTGCACTACCACCTTGCCACAGGACCTGAGTCTTTGATGCACACATGGGTATCTGGTGTGACTGAGGTCCTTATGACGACTTTTTATTATCGTTTTCAGTTCAGTTCACTTCAGTTTATTGTCATATGGACAAGTGCAATGAAATGCTTATTTGCATGTGTGCTCCTGTACAAAGACATTAAAGGAATCACCAAAAAATATAAACACAGAAAAGCAGCAACAGCAACGAGTTAAATAATATACAGTGTAAAAACAAAGCCAGACAAGCAGTGTGAGAAAAAACACATGTGTGAGTCAGTGGTGGGGGTAGAGTTCAGTAATCTGACAGCTTGTGGGAAGAAAATGTCTCTGAATCTGGAAGTTCGTGCCTTAATGCTCCCCAGAGGGAAGGGGGAGAAAAGTGAGAAACCAGGATGACTGGTATCATTAGCGATAGTCCCAGCCTTCCTGAGGCAGCGGGTTGTAAACATGTGCACAGTAGAGGGGAGCTGGACTCCAGTGATGGACTGGGCTGACCTGATCACTTCCTGTATCACCTTCCAGTCAGACAATGAGCTGCTGTTATCCACAGATATGTCACAAAACTCTAGTCAGTGGAGGGAACACCATTCCCAACAGAATGGGATGTTAGTAACAAAGCACAAGTTAGTAACAAAACACCAGTGGTACTTTCAAAAACTGGAACAAAGGTTTCAGCACAGTCGCAGTAATATATCATAATTATTGTTTCCATACATCTGATAACATCCTTAGCGCTGCTTCTGGATTGTTATAAATAATAACAGTATCCCCTGGAAATACTCTACTACTGTATATACTACTATATCTACTGTACAAACATTTTGTTATCATAAGTGTGTCATAAAAAAATGGGCATAACCATTTTGTTGGTTCCTTAAACTTTTGAATTTTACTTTCTGTGAGATATCTGCTAAGCTATAGTGTTACCATCACTTAACCTGATCTAGTTCGATTTCAAAAACTATGCACTAGACCTCTCTGACCTTAATTAAGCTGTATCTGCACCATCACACTGCTTAGCTGAGGATAAAAATGCAACAAACCCTTTTTTTCCCTTTTTTTTCTTGTCAAAGTTTGACAAGACCAAAGTTATGCAGTTTGACTGTCTTTATCAGCTCCACTGTTCTGTCAACTTTAGTTTGAGTATGGATCCTGCAATCAGTCCAAAGTATTTGGTTTGTAAGCTAAAAAAAAGAGATATTCCTACAAACGTGCTTTCTGTCAGTTCCTGTTTTGAGGGGGAGAATTAATCTGATATATCACTTTAGCAGATCAATGCAAATTTAGATGTACTGCAAGTTCTTGTAAGCAAACTGTAATCTAACTACTGATTTAAAGATTACAAGGAAAGGCGCTGAAGAAGGAAAAGCCTGAGTGAAATTTGTTAATTTTATCTCAGCTTACAGTGAGGTGAGTACTCACATTTCATATAGTTAATGCATAGAAATATACAATGATTGCATCAATATTCTTTCTATTTGAAATCTTGCAATAATTTTATTAGTTATTTATATACATTCTATATTAAACATTTAACATAGTTCTCTACTGAAGAAAGAGAACTAAACTACTTTAGAAATGTAAAACATTAAAAAAGGACTGAGCATTACACAACGTTTAATTAGAATTTCAGATAGAAGTGTGGTTTTTATTTGAATTTCAAGAAGGAATTTTCTTTTCAAACTGGAGTTTTTGTCAGCTGTCAGTTTTTGGCACAGTTTGTCTCTGTGGGGTAATGCTGTGGCTTTTAGTGCTTGATTAATTAGTGACCAGCTTCAACATTGTAATTTCATAACGTATTTCTGCATTGCAAACCTGAAAATCAAGAGTTAGTATTACTGGAAGAAGAAAGAAAAAAACATTTCCAGATAATGCAATATCATAAATATCACTGTGGTATTTCTGATGGGAAAGAACATCCAACTTCGATTGCAAAGATTTCTTGATCAATATTTTTTTCAGTAGCTGTACACCTGGAACATATTTGAATTTCTTCAAACACTTTCAGGTTGGACGATAAACCCAGCCAAACACTTTTTTGTTCTAATATAGTTTCAAACGTTGCATAATGGTAATCATTATGATTCCACAGCATTTCTTTCTTAACAAAACAAGAATCTGCTGGAGCACAATTCAGGTGGGTATTTTAAAAAAAGATAAAATGGAAATTTTAGTTTTTATTTTTATTTTCTAAACAATATTTTTTTTTTCCGTAGAACCAAAATGGTCCATCTTTTACTCCTTTCTCACCTCCTTATGACCTGGATTGTAACAAGAGGCAGATCAGACATAGCAGGTAGGATCACTACTTTATTTGATTAACAGTGGTTGCAAGATTACTTAAACAAATTACTTTATTTACTTAAAAAAATGAATTCCAAATGTATAATCCTTTAACTTATCTGTAGAGTGTAGTGGCACGGACACATTCAGAAAACAGATTCGTTTTCAATATTTGTAATAACCGTCTTGAGTTTAAACACTGCCTGTCACGCCAGAAACGCACACAACACCTTACAGCAAACAACACATTGAGACAAACACTACAACTTGTTCAGTAGAAAATCACACTAACAAAAAGCTCTTCACACAGAAGGAAAAGCAAGTGTAAAAAAGGTGTGTGCTTAACCAGGACCTAAACAACTTGACAAGATTTTTACAAGGGATGGAAGAGCACTTCACAGCCTCTGAGCAAAGGAGCACAAAGCCCAGCCAGCTAGACTGTGCCACATGCTAGGGGCCGGAGGCGAGGGCTCAAGAGAGCAGGCAGGATGGGGGTGTTTAAAAATCAAGTACTTGTAATCTTTAATCATTAATTGTTAAATGTGATCGCTATTGTGATCTTAAGATAATCCACCCAAAGTCTTAAAAGGAAGCTAGAGCACTTTGAACCTTACTCTGAATTTCTGAGGAACAGGAAGCGCTTAAGGAAGAATATTCTCTGAATTTATAGTTTTCATTAGAATCTGGGCTGCCCGGTTTTCAATGTGTTGCTGGTTTTGAGTCAAAATTCTCAAAACCATCTAGATTGAAGGCTGAAGAAACAATTCCTATTAATGAGAGAGGAAGAAAAAGTAAAATAGAAATAAATAAAAAGCATCCAATGAGCTGTTGTAGAAAAACAATATTAATGTCTACTCTACAAAGCAGCAACCATTGAAATCAAGATTGATTTCTCAGTTTCCAGTTGTGGAATCGCAAGACACAATCTGACCTCTGATGTTATCAATTTTATCATGTAAAAACTCAGAGAACTTTGTGCACAGGAGAGTAGATTCTTCAGTTAGCATGTCATTAGCTGGGTCTGAGAGATTATGTACTCTTAGAAATAGGGTTATAGGTATTTGTCCCTTTTTCTGAGCATTTGACAAAAAAAAGCTGAGCTGGAATCAGAAAGGGCATCTCTACAGGACTGCAGTGATTGCTTAAAAACAAAGAAGTGCTTGTGAATGTCTCTGTCCTGTCATGTAATTAGGTTTGCATCCTTCAGATTCCATGGAGCGAAACGTGATACTAAGGGCAGTGACATGTGAATGAGACTTTCCCTAGTCCTGTCTGCAGATAGGGAACCAGAGGTTGGGCTACTGCATAAAGTAAAAAAGAGTTCTTAATGCTAGTCGTTAGAGCACAATCACAGGAACTGAAAAAGGATTAGGGAAACATCTGAGTTAGTAGCTCCAGGCACAAGTGGCACAAGGTCCCAGTCTAAGAAAGTGCTGGTCACTGACTGGCAGACCACAGCAAGGCACAGAACTGCAGTGAAGGAAAGCACTGTTATTTGACATTCATTTTCACCACATCACCATCACTTTCCATAACTGTGTGTCCAGTGGAGGGTCGTGGTGGCGCGGAGCCTGTCCTGATAAGCTCTGAGCACCAGTACTGGGTACAGGACGGTACCGCCAGCACTGTGCATCACAGGGCTCACACACAGACACAAACACACACACGTACTGTGTGCTCACACATAAGCCAGTGAAGCTGCCAGCGACGTACTTGGATCGAAGGTGGAAACCCGCGCGAACACGGGGAGAACATGTGAGCTTCACACAGATATCCCTCCAGGGAGTGAACCCAGGGCCCCTGCCTTGTGTGGCAGCAATGCTCATTCCTGTGCCAGCCGCATGATTATTCCGATTTCCTCAAATTAAATTCATTTTAATTACAATTAAAAAGAAGAGCAGGGAATCGTTCAATAAGACTAAAATCCTGCCGTGGGGGCCTAGATATACTGTAAGTACCACTGTTGAAGGCAGGAGAGCAACCGATGTCAGAGCCATGCAGCCAAATGAATTCCAATCTGGCGCAGACAAAGTTCTCGGTCTAATGCTGCATGGATGCACGAGAGCCGGCCCCCCCCTTTTTTCTCCAAACAAACGAACTCAGGGCGAGAGACTGGACTGACAAGGTGGTTGTCCGGATGATGCTGCCGTGCTTCAGTCAATCGTCAGCCTGTAGATGGCGCCGTGTGTCCTGTTGTTCCAGACAGCTGTGAGTTCGCAGACCGCGGGGAGAGCTTCGTCACCGAGCAGGAGGCAGTGCGCTTGCTCTGTTATCTGGGAGTGGATGCAGATGACAGCGGCGGGGTGGCCTTCACGTGGTACAGCCATAAGAATCTGGAGCTGCCTTTTTCCGAAGCAGAGCGAATCCACCACCATGAGGGAATACTGTACTTCCTGCCCGTTCTCCTGACGGACTCTGGGACGTACACCTGTGTCTGGTAAATTTATAGAGGTTTGCTTTGCCAGAGGAGGGCCGACACAACACAACAGAATCATTCCTGAAATAAATGAGTGTAGATATTAAAGTATGTGTCCATTCTTGACCTTAATTGAGCTATGAAGCATTAGCATTTTAGATGTTAAAACCTTCACAGCAGAAGCAGGAAAGCATTTCCCTACACGTATCATTTGCTTTCTACCATACAGTTCAATACATACAGTACAGTACTTCAGTTTGCATTTCGCCAATGCACAAATCCTATTCCAAGCTTTTTGTTCTGCTACAAAATACTGCCATCTTGTAACTCGTAAAAAATCACACTTAATTGAAAAAAGGTCACTAATGTCAATCTTTCTCTAATTGTTACAAACCAGTGCCTAAAGTCTCTTTTCCTAAATCCTTGAGACTTATTGATGAAAACATCTTGGAAAGTAGGCTGTTGTTACTGTATGTCAGTTCAGTGTTGTCAAGCTGAAATTCCGTACAACCAAACCTGAGTAAATGTCCTGTTTTAGGAATACGACCGATGAGTGTTCGTATTTTGAGAGGAAGGTGACTGTCTATGAAGCAAAGCCTTTCAATTCCTCTGTCCTCTACACCCCTGTCACGACTTCTGCAGTTAATCAAAAGATCTTATGTCCTGATTTGTATCCCAATGCGACTGTAACCTGGTTCAAGGCAAGTACATCCTAGTTAATTTAATTTATAACACATAATGTATGCAGGGCCATTTATGTCAATAAGAATTAGACTGTACTCAATTCAGGAAACATGTCATGAAAGGACAGTAAACTAAAATTTAAAAATGAATTAATATTAAAGAACAAAAGAACAATTTAAGCAAGAACCGGTATTGGTGTGCTGTAGGTGCGACAGAGCACTAACCCTGACTAATTGTGTCATATAATTGTAATAATCATAATTTATTATTAGAATTAGAATTCTAGATACTGTATGTTGATGGTCTTTTAATTCCTTCAGCTGTTACTAGATGATTTTAATCTCTTCTGTTTGTGCTGTTTTAAATAGCATTTATTGATGTGTTGCATTTATTGCTATATTTTATTTACACTAATTAATGGGAAAAAAGACTCCTACTTGAACAGAGAAGGCTCAGGGTAGGAAGAGAACAAGAACAATCTGAATTCAAGGGTAGAAACATGCTTTTTAGATAGAATTCCAGCAACAGAGCAAACCAATGCATTCCTGTTCAGAACATGCATTTTGATTGAGCTCATCAGAAATGATTACTTGTTACACTGGCATGATCATTCAGGTATTATTAATACACTGGTGGCCACAAGACTGCTGTAGATACTCTGTAGCGTCCTGCCCCCTGGGCTGAGCTTGACTGTCCAAATTTTGCAGACTCATTCCCCCTCTCTCTATAAATAAGGGGACCCCCTCTCTCATGCCAAACCCCCAAGATGAGCCGTTATTCTCTCAGTTCTCTGCCCTCCTACCTGCCTCTCCTGTGAATGTACCAGAAAAGGGCACTAGAACCAGAGAGGTGCAGTTCCAGTCTCCTGCCTCTCTTCTTACACTGCTGCCCACGCAAGGGGAGGGCGCTCCGATATTGTAGCATCCCCCTTCCCTTTTTTTCAAAGTCTTTAACACGTGGCGCAGATTTTTTGTTTTTTTTTCCCTCTGGTTCATTTCCCTTTTTGGGCACAAGCTCTACTTCACTGCCCTGGCTCCTCCTCCTCCCCGGGAGATGTGTGCGAATGGAGAATACCTGACGAGGTAGCGACGTACAGATCTAGACAGGGCAGGGTAGGGCTCCTCTGGGTGAGGCGGGGGTGTCCGCTGTCTGGCTAACATCGCCGAGGGTGCTCGGAGCCCTTGCAGAAGCAGGGGGTCCTGCAGGTGTCACCTTAGCTCCCGGCGCTGGTTCCACAACAGTTCAACTACTTTCAGGGCCCGCAAGTCAAAAGTGACGGCCCTGGACATCGGGACGCTTTGATACAGGCAGTTCCTCTGTCTCCACCCACGTGGGCAGGATGTCCTTTTTTCATTTGTCAAAGTTGCCTTTTATGGCTGGCAGTTTAGGTAGGTAAGGCCTCGATTTCCCCGATATGTGAGACTGTTTCTGCTCCCGACCCACTTAATGAGAATTTTACACTCTGATTCCTAGAATATACCTGCATGCAAATCTGCAGTTGTCTGAGTTGTTTCTAAATTTAAAAAAGAATCAGAGATACTGTAGTCTGTTTCCTGACCCTAGACTGTCACATTCTCTTTTCTGAGCTGTTGGTAGCAGTGCACACGTTTTCCAGAAGAGCTTCACTTTGGCACGTAGTTCATGTCGTGTGTTCACCAGCTTTTTTTACTTTCTGTTCACAAATTAGGATTTTCAGGTTCTTCCAAATGCTACAGAAGACCATGTGTATATATTTGATACAAACCCGGGCGATAATGGAATCTACACGTGTAAGTGCATCTGGGAGCATAACGGGAAGGTGTTCAATTTCTCAAGATCCTTCCAACTAGAAGTTGAAGGTAAGAAAGCAAAATGCAAAGCCACACTTCTTTAAATGATAGATTGTAAATGGAAGATGTTCTGTAGAGCCTGTGTGATATGTACTGTGTTACTTTTATGAAGCTACACTTGTACTGGATGGGCTATTGCTCTGAAGCAGATTTAATCATGTTCAAAGATATTATTTTGGGACAATTCTGCTTAAAAGCCATGTCCTATTTTCCTCATTCCTGATTCAGAGCCAACAATCAAAAAGTTCTAGGAAAATTATAAAAGAACCCAGCAATAGACACGTATGTTTAGAGCAGAATCCACTGTCAGGCTGAGTAAGAACAGCAGCCAGATGTGCTTTTGGGCAGGCTGGGCTACCAAGACCTCGACAGGTACTACTCAGGCCAGGTGAAAGTCCAGGTACGTAAGAAACGATTATCTCCGTTTTCTGCTGGACTAAGCAGATTACAGATGAGAGGGGACTGTGGAGACTTGCTTTTTACATTTTTTTATTGGTAGGTTACTGATAGAAGAATCTCATCCAGCTGCCATGTAAGGGATCTCAGAGATGTCAAATGTTGGTTTTTTTCTCTTTATTGTGCATCATGAGAATTTGATTCTGGGTTTGGGTTGCAGTGGCTGTTAATCGATTAAGTGAGGGAAAAAAAAAACCACCACAAATTTTTCCAATCGTTTGTGGAGGGCAGATTTCACCTTGCGTGCAGCTGTTTATTTTCCTGGCCCCGGACTAATGCAGTTGCCGGAGCCTTTAAAATGCCTTTTGCTCTCTTCTTGTGCAGTTCCCTCAGCGCTGCATGCCCCAGTGATCCAGTACCCAGCCAACAACACTGTGATAGCTGAGCCTGGTAAGGACCTTTCTCCTCCACTTAACAGCTATCCATTATCAGAGCAGGACTGACAGAAGGCTAAAGGAGCAGACTGCATCACCTGCCCTAGTATCAGTGTATTGCAGTGAGTCACCAGCCCCTAAATGCCTGTAACATCTGTATTCTAAACAAAGAAAGAACTTTTATTGCTTATCAAGCGATTTATCCACTAATGAAAAAAAGCACTAGAACTAAGTTTCACCCTACTGCATGCAACCCAGATATACTTTGGAAGACTGGAACACTATAGTTGCTGTCCCCAATTGTGTGTGGCAGAATTACGTGCAGAAATACTCTGAAGAAATTTTTTTTTTGTAGGTTCCCCCCAAAAAATTGAATGTATAGTCTTCTTCGGTTTCGATGTGGAAGACACTTGCTCAGTATGGTGGGAAAAGAACGGGACGTCTGTGAGATTTTCCAACGGATACTCGCAGAACGTGACAAGGTGGTGGAGCCCCAGGGGGGTGAATGAAAGGTGTATGGAGAGAGGAAACACCAAGCCATTTCCCTGGCTCCCTGGCTCCTGTTTATGTCAGAAGAGAGACCACAACAAAATTTATATGACATACAAATTTAAGATATTAAGACAAAGCTAACGTCTTGGATGTTTAGTTACAGATTTAAAGGAAAATTGATTGCACAAAAAAAATGAAAATTATTATTTTTATTTTTTTTAAAGAAGCACCTCTGTTGTTCCTTTCAAATATGTAACCTTTATAATTCTAATGCATTCATTTATAGTAAGTATTACAGTCCTCGTTTGTACTCCTATGCAGATGTTAAATGAAAGGGAAATGTTTTATATGATATGAACAGAATTGTTATACAGTTTTGAACAGGAAGCTCAAAGGATGTGTTAGCAGCAGATACGCCACATGGATGGAGAACTAATGACAAACTGCGAGGATTGTTTTAGTCAATCATTGACTGAAAGTTAGATTGTCAATCTAACTTTGCCCAAGGGCAAAAAAACGTTTTTGTCCTATATTTCCCAAACAGGAAGCATTACTTGTATTATTGTCTGATTGTTTTTTCCAGATACACAGAGAACAATCAGACCCTGTACAAGGCCACTCTCTCCATCGCCCGTGTTTCTCAGCAGGACTTCCACTCAGAGTTCAAGTGCACTGCAATGAACAGTATTAAGTGGTTTGAAGGTTTTGTCTTCATTCAGCCCCAGCGTAAGTGGTCTCTCTGACGTTTTAAAACATCGGACATATAAAACTCACTGTGCTACGGTGGAGGCCAGATCACCAGAATAACTCCATGACACAACAAGGCCAGAAGAAAAAATAGCTCCTTTACTTTTGCTGCCTGTCTTGCATTTTACATTTTTTGTTCCTCTTTCTGGGGTCTTGAGTTCATTTTGTTAATAAAAACAGGAAACTGGGCATATTTAAGGGTGGTGGGAAATTTTCTCAAAATCTTAGCATTTTCTAACCTGTCTATCATAAACATACTTCCAAAATGAAATGTGTAAGTTATACATTACATTTGTTGCCACTCACAGAATTTCATTCTAGGAAGTCTTTTTCTGCAATTAGCACATTTTCTTTTGTACAGATCTCTCTGAATTCTTAACTTCTTCTCATTGCTTGTTAATACAGCAACAATCTATAGAAGCTTTGCGATAAGCCTGCCTGTCTTGCTAGTCCTTCTCCTGATGTACGTGGCGGTCAAGTATTATATGATTGACTTTGTGCTAATCTACCGGGATTTGCTCAAACCTTACTGCGCTCACAGAGGTAAGTGTTGAATTACAGCACATTCAACCTTACATTTCTTTGCCAGCTATCTCTAGCCTGTCATTTTAAAAGAGGTTTTATCGAGGGTGGAACACGATCGGCAAAATCTTGATATTACAGTCTGTTTAATTATCTCTGTCTCCTGGCGTCCGTGCGGGTAACTGGTGGATGCAAAATTGCCTGCCGTACGGCAAAACAGTTCTTAACGTAGTTTGCAAATGTAATTATCAAGGAGTGTGAAACAGAAGTAGTACTGTAAGTACTGCAGGCAAATCTAATAAGGTGCCAGTTGTAGGCAGACTGCATATCACGCTGATGCCTCTGGATCGGTGTGGGGTCAAACATACATTTTTATACTTCCTATTTTTTTAAAATCCCATAAAACATTTGTCTTGTGCAACCTGTGGAACCGTTCCAGTAGCATTGAAAAAGTTGAATGTACTGAACAATGCTTTGCACACCTCTCTGACTACATTACCTCAAAGCAATAGATCACTTTATTGTCCATATACAAGTTCTTGCATTAGCAATTTGTCTTTTCTCATACCCCAGCTTGCTCTCCATGAGACACACAGACAGGGAGAGAAGCTGGGGGTCAGAGCACAGGGTCAGCCATTTATACGGCGCCCCTGGAGCAGCTGGGGTTAAGGGCCTTGCTCAGGGGCCCAATGGAGTAGGATTCCTCTGCCGGCCGTGGGATACGAACCGGCAACCTCCCAGCCACAGATCCTGAGTCACAGAGCCACTGCCCTGAGCAGCATCTATTCCAACCTTTAGCTCAGATAGCTCAGAACTGGAAATATACGTTCCAGTTTATTTAACGATATAGTGAAGACCGGATTGTTCTGGAAAAATCATGATCTTTCTGCTTAAATGGCAAGGAAGTGAACACCACACACATTGATCTCTTTTTCCTGTAATGATTGCAGAAATAGGGCTTGTTGTGTGTGTCAGTTTATGGAGTATTGTACTGTGAATAGGGTGCTGCACTTCAGAAGTGGATGAATTTCGTCCCCTGATACTTACAAATCCTTTTGGGATCCTTTGTAATGAAAAGGGCCATATCCAGCACTTTGGAGAGTCTCGTTAATACCATTGTATTGTTAATGCTGTTTTTTTTGTGGCGCATGCAATTACTACGTCTGACCACAAGATGGCTCTCTTATACTAGACACGCCATCAGTCTCCAGCGATCCAGATTTTAAACATATTGTTTTGGATTCTTACAAACTGCTGATTAAATATCACAGCTGGCCTTCTCGTTTGTTAACATATACTAGGCAACTTTTATAACTTCCGCAGAATTGTATATTTTTATTCCTGGGCTTGCTTCCTAAATTTTTTAAGGAAACGAGATCTGGTCATCAGCGTCTTTGATAAATACCTGCGGTTGTTCGTGATGTCTCGATGTGTCCAGAAAATGAGGTAGATGTATCTTGACTGTTTCAGACGGAAAGGTGTACGACGCATATGTTGTTTATCCAAGACACAACCTTCAAAAATCGTCAGAAGAGAAGATCTACAGTTTCGTCAACGTGGTTATGCCTAAAATTCTGGAAACGAAGTGTGGCTATAAACTTTTTATTTATGGAAGAGATGATTTACCTGGCCAAGGTAACCTATTATAATATAATTAAAATATGACATTTATATGCGATATTTCTTCACTTGCTTAAATTCTTTGTTGTTCCCTGACACCATCAGTATTTTTGAAAATCAGCTCTTAATACACTGATGAAGAATTAAATGAAAAAGCAATGGTCTGTGTTTTGTATATTAATAGCCCGGGTATAATGATATTTACATTGTATAAAATCACCAGATACACCTATTTATTAAGTAGTGTATTCCCCCAGGATAACAAAATACTGAGCTCAAGTCATGTAATCTCGTTACAATCCATGTGCTCACCGGCTGGTTACTGAGTTGTCTAAAAAAGGGCAGAATTATCTGATTAGGAATCTGTTGGAATAGCCATTCAAAATATGTGATTTTAACAAATGCACGAGCAAAGAAAATATACAACCATGTCCCTGCTGAGCAACGCCTGTTGAGTGTGAGCCAATGAGAATGAAGCCATCAGCAGACTAGTCCAGGACTGTCACATTCTGCGCTCAAGCGTGCTTGTTTTCAGACTGCAGGGGCTGTAGCACAAGACATTCCAGGAGGGAGTAACCCTGGGTGTTTCCCCACTATGCATGCTGTAATGGGATCTTCTAACATAGGCAGGTCCAGGACAAGAGACACTGGCACATAGGTGTTAGGTAAAAAAAAAAACAGTGCTCTTTATTTACAGTGAGGGAAATCAGAAACCCAACAAACACAAAAGGCCTCAGCTCCTTTTTGAGCTCCTGTTTAGACTTCTACAGTTTCTGTTTATCATGCCAGGCAGCTAAACTGCTTACCAGCTTCTAAACAAACAACCCACAACACTAAAGTCTCCCTCTGAGACTCTTCATGAAACTGAGTCAATTCAATTCAAGGCTTTATCAGCATGACCGATTGGGTACAATCAGTGTTGCCAAAGCAGATAAAAATAAAATTAACATGAAACAAAACAAAGCAGAACTAAAAAATAAATAAAATAAAATCTACAGATATATTACAGACATTTACAACAAAGACATATCATGAAATATTTACATATACTTTAAACATATTGAGCATTATTGGGAGACAGACTCACTGTTCCTCAGGCTGTGACAGGAGATCACACACTCTCACAAAGACTACCCAGTCTCTCTCCCAGATATCCAAAAACACTCTCCCCCACAAAAAAAATCTCAAAATTCAGTTTCACTGGACTCGTGAGTTCTCCAGGACCCCAGTTCCATGGTGAGTCTTTCTCCCTT